ATGATAGTGTGTATACATTACAAACTTGGCATTAATACCATGATAAGAAATTAGATAAGGCAATTATTACTTATCACTCTCATTCAAAAGTATATTGAAAAGATAGCGTTTTCTTCTGTCCTTTTCTCAATACGTATTTCAATGTTTAATACCGTAAAATAGTACATGAAAATTCAAATTTTCACAAACTTCAAAACGCTACAGAATATTTACTACTGAATATTAATAAGATATTTTTTTACTAAAATTTTTCTTAAATTCTACTCTACAAAATAGCTATCTTAGATTTTTTTTTTACATTTTATTTAAAATTTAAAAATAATTAATATTTTTAATAAAATGTAAAAAAATTAATTATTGAGATATAGCTATAGACCTAACGTATAACTATTATTTAAAAAAAAAATCAACTAAAAATATTAACTGGATCAAAAGTTATTTAAGTTGTCAGTGAGTGGTGGGCCACTCTGTATATATTTTTTTTAGGGTAGAGTTATAGAACCCAACCTATTTTTCATGATTTTGAAAAACGTATTATAGTATAATTATTAACACATGTTTCAATCCAGTTCCTTACAATTTAGTCTTGACTGGCAACTTATCTCTTAAAAAAAAACACCGCGAAAATGACAGTTTCCGTATGACTCAGCATATTTTATAAATAGGCATAAATATAATTTATTAGATGAAATTATGGATAATGTGGTAAAATTTGCTATTTTTACCAACAGTGAAGATGCACCTCCCTCGAAAAATTAGAAGCAAACTTTATGTTTGTATTCAATGATGTAATTTGTGAAAAACCAATCTTATTTTTGCCCGAAAGTGTCAAAATAACGTTGATAGTTTTAACCTAAGATACAGACGTATTCTAGAATTCCTAAACAACTGGTAAGAGATAACACTGATATGATTATCCTTTAAAAACAAGATAGAACATATCTGAAACACGTTTATGTAGATCATTGTTCCAATAGTATGAGTTTTAATGAATTCAAAGCAATGTGTTCACAGTATTAGAATAAAGGACAGTATAGTTTCATTAATAGTCAAAGATGACGACCTCAGCAATGGTCGATATCGATGTGGGCGTGATTTATTCATAAAAATGATGACTCATACTAATATACATTTAGTCAATAACAAGATGTCGAATAAAGTGTTGAAAAAAATCATAGTCTCTAAACAAAACATATAAAATAAAGTACAGCTAATTCATAAAAATGTTGAGAAATCAAAAAATTTCGTACATACACCCAACATAGCGAACCATTTACATTCCAGGTTGGGTTTACTTTTTAATGACAATATTAATTTATTACTAACACATACATTTATAATTTGCTAAATTAATTTATTTGATATGAATTTATTTTAAGTAATTCGACAAAACTATACAAATAATTTAACTACACAAATTCTAAAAAAAATTTATTTACAATTGCATACGTGTTAAATTAATAATTATTAATACACTTTAAAACAACAATAATTTAATTTTCAAAAATAAAGTGTTACATATATTTTATTAAATTTTATTTTATTTATTTATTTTAAGATTAATTAATATAATAATTAAATATAATTTATTAAATTATGTTATATATAAATAAATAATAAATTTAATAAGATTTTAGTTCTTAATTTTAAAAAATGCCACCCTAGGCCACGATCTACCCCTAAATACGCCACTGTTTGGAAAAGTTGTAAACATATATATATACATGAATAATTTGCAAAAAAAACTTAAGGTAAATTTTCAAAAGATGGTTTGTTACGAGGTGCAAGAATGCTACAATAACCCGCTTTTCGTCTTATTATATAAAGTTCAGTACCAACAAAATAGTTGTTACACGTATTACGAGTTTTAATTAATATTACTGAGTAATATTAATGTGATATTGTGTTTCAATTTATTTAACATATTTGAAAAATGGAAATTAATTTATAATAGTGAATATAATATTTTAATATTTTGTACTTTTTGCTTCGGTGTGAATTTTTTTAGACAACGTAATGTTTAAAACATAAATATTACTTTCTTCTGCACGTGGTAAAAATCCCCTATAAATAAATGATTATATTTACAATGTACATATGAATGAGTTTTATACAGACTTCAACTCACGTTGACACCAATAACTATATAAACCTATAAATTTTATTATTTATTAATTGGGTCTAAAATAGACCAAACAATTATTAGCTAAAATTTCAACCAAAATGTAACTCTTGTCTTAATAATGTTTGATGGAGTCATTCGGAAATAAACTTTCCTTTAGAGATTGTGTATTTCCTCCGAGCATCATTCATTAATTACTACCATATTTTATGATATTTATTTTCTTCCTGTGTATTAAATTTACAAGCTATATCAGTTTATATTTTATTAAGTAATTAAAATATATACTTATGTTATTAACAAAAAAATTACTATAACTGAAGAATAATTCTTAAGTTAAGGATCAATTATTGATCCATAATAATAAACTTAATTTTAAAAAAAAACGTGAAACAATTAAATAGCTATGTAGAATGTATAACTCAATTTTTTGTTTTTAATATAAATTTATACAAGGTATTTTATTGTTGCATTTATCATGGGAATTGTATTAAATTATGTGATTTTTACAGATAACAGATACAGAAAACAGATAACAGTTTTGTTTTTATTACTCAATTATCTCAAAAAAGGTTTTACTGCACTTAATGAGATAGTAAACAAGTATTATGTATCATTGATGCGTTGTAAGTTACCTTGAAATAATTTTGTAACGCATTTTATAAATGAATTTTAAAAAGCATCTTTAATCGTATTTTACGAATGAATTTAAAGAATGCATCTTTAAAGGCATTCTGCATTTAATAAATAAATACTTTTATAAGTAAATAATATATATATTCACTTGATATTTAAAATATAATTTGCGTTAATTATTAAAAGTATAGTTCTTCAAAGAGGTACGGTATATTTGACCTCGAATTTTATGTGAGAGGCCCATAAAATTTAAGTATAAATTTAATGTTATACAATATAAAAAATAAATGTTAAAATAACAACTTATTATATAAATAAATATGATAACATAAAATACATACATAAATATACCTAACAATTTTTAATAATAATATTTAATGATCAGTTGATATATTGATATATATATATATATATCAGATTGGNCTATTTCCGATTATAGCTACTTCTACGAATAATTGATTTGTTTAATGAATTTATTTAATTAAAACAATTTTAATTCAAAATTATATTTTAGGTAAATATGTTTGTCTAAAAGGCAGGTGTAAGGGTCAAACATTTCTATTGTTATTAATGAACCGTCCGTTCGATCCACCGTTCGCTAACGGATGGTTTCTATCATCCGTTGTGAACGAACGTTTTTTATTGTTCTAAACGGTTGTCCGTTCGATGTTTCATACGTTCCGAAGGTGTTCATGAACAACGTTCGCCATATAAACCTATATAAAATAAATCCAACCCTCTTATGGTGCGAGGCGTGGGCCCTTGAGTGAGACTATTTGGAGTCCCGACTAGGGTTTACGTTCCAAATCAGGACATCCATCGTCAAGGTTCCCCTGCACTGATTTCTCGGCCTCCATGCACTGGCGCAAGTTGACCCGGTGGCTAAACTCCGATCGAGTCAGCGGCATATCGTCACGGAAACGATCCCGCACGTCCAACCAATCCTCCACCATATCCTCGGTGTTGGCAAAATCACCAGCAGTAACCTCAGCGACCCAAATGTCACCGGCGGATGCCTGCTTGACTCATCTTGCGACAGTAATTTGGGCGCGAACGCCTCCTGGACTCTGTCTCACCAATCCCACGGTTTTGGTACAGACTCTAGATAACGACCGGGTCAGTCTTGTAGAGACACCCTTCTCAGCCGGCCCTGGGGTTTCCGACCCACCTGGCACCGTAACTTATTTTTTACCATGGTTTCCTTCCATTGTTGAATTTAAGGTAAATTCTAAATTGCGTTTTACCTGCCACCAGGGGATTTGTTTTTGGTATTTCCTTCACCTAGGTGGTCGTCTTATCAGGCTATCGGACCCACCCGCCCGTTATACAATTATCCTCGATCGCTACCGTTTATTCGCCTACTCTAGGAGAGGCCTATCTCACGGCTACCCTGCATATCTGCAGGATTAACGAGCGAACGAGGAGCTCGCTGTCCGCAACCGCTTATTCGTCAGTCCAATTGAATAGGCTGCTTATTTCGTGGCTAACCTGCATATCTGCAGGCCGTTCCTCTATCCGCAACTTGAGGACGCGACCGATTCCCCGAGCTAGGGAAACTACGCTCGTGCCGACGTTTCGTAGACCGATAGAGTCTGATCACACCGACACTGTAGCACAGCGAATCGGGAGGCTGGGTCACCTGTCGACTAAGGATCTTTGGAGACAAGAGTCCGGGTGCCTAGAACAAGGGAACGTAGCAATGGTATTCTAATATAAAAAATTGCCTAGTAGTACATTTTTTATAGACTAATAGAGTTGAAAATTGAAATTGAAAAGAAAATGTGCAAAAAGACAATTTTATATTGAATTCATTTGGAAGGGAGATTAACCTTTTTATCATGACTATAGTAAATATACAAAATTAAAAACATTTTAAACACAAAAAAAGAAAAATAAATTCAGTACTAAGAAAATTTAAGGATTTAAATAAAAAAAATACTTAAGTAAATTCTTCATTCACTCAGATTTATATTAAAATTTTAAATATAAAATAGAGTACCTGCCAAAATTAATGAAAATGTTAATTTTAAATATTAGAAGAATTTTGTTTGATTTATTTTTTTTCTATTTAAAAATAAAGAGTTTAAGGCAACTAACTCTTTATTAACAGTACATAAGTCATATATTTAAAATAACACCTAAATAAATAAAAATGTAATAATACAATACTGACATTTGTTTTAAGTTTTAACAGATTTTTTTTGTAACAGTTAATATAATTCAATTATTTAGTGTATTTTTCTACACAATTTTAGCTAATACGAAAAGATTTGATTATTTTTTAGTAAAAAATATATGTATTTTTTTATTTTATTGTTTTTGGTTACTATTCTTAAAAATGTTTTCAATTAAGTTATCCGAAATTTGCGTTTTTTTGATTCACACAATTTTGTTTATTGAAGCGTATAATAATACGCTAAGAAAAACAGCAATCATTAATAAGTTTTGTGAAAACAATTTTTGGAAAAATTTATCTAATTTACAGAAAGTGCGATATGCTAATACATATTGTTACTTAAATAAAATTAATATCATTTCCAATAAATCAAAAAGCAATGGTAAAATACGTTGCGCTGCTTTATTCCTTAGTTGTCTATACGCTCAAGATTTAAGACAAATATTCTTAATGGTCAATGATTATCAAAACATATGTAAAACAATTCTAGAAAACAATAATAATCCCTATCAATGTATCATACATTTATTGGAAATTATTAAAAAAGTTACATTATTGGGAACAGTCATAAAAGAATCATTGATTGCAGTAGATGCGTTATATCATAGGCGACCAAACAAAACAAAAGATGATTATATATTATATGATTTTTTGTCAAGTTTACAACAAATTAAAAATACTATTGTTCATGAATCTCCGTCACAGGATAATCCAAAGAATTGTGAAATAATATTATTAAATATTAAAAATATTTTTAATGTAAAGATAGAATATATAAATAAAGAAATTAAAGGCAAACGTAAAAGGGAATGCTTATTTAAAAATAAGGATTTTTATCCAATATTGCATGATTGGAAGACAGTACACAATATAGAAAATGAATTGTATTATTTTAAAGATTTGAATGAAAAAATTGATGATGAATTTAAGAAGATTATTACAGATAAATATTACAAATTAGGCTTCCATTTCAACACAAGCATTAAGATGATTAGTATACCAATACCACAAGAAGTTCTTAATAGTAAGTTTTCAAAAGAAAAATTTCATAATAAATTAATGTTTGAAATACATTAACTTATTATGAAAATTTTGATAAGATAGTTAAATATAGTTATTTTATATTTGCTTCAAATTACATTAACAAAAAAGGTGATAATTAAGAATATAGTCCAATTGAATCGGAAGCTTCAATTCAATTTCTTAGTGAAAAAATAAATATTAAAACTTGAAATTTTGTAGAAATACTACTTAATATATTGAGACACATAGGTAATAAGCACATCAATATCGATTCTTTTAATAATTTTTTATTAACTTTGATGTCAACTTTCACCACGAAGACAAGTCCAGAGCTCAAATTTTTTTTTTTTCAAATTAAAGTATATTACATTAGCTTTAATTTAAGATATATATATAAGTGTCAGACCTTCCGGAACATTTTTAAAAGTTAAGTTGAAAAAGTTCTACTTTCTATATGCATATTTTATATTTCAAGCCCCCCCATATATAGGGAAGTAGTCTGATTTAAAAAAAATATATATTCAATGAAAGATGTATATAAATACTACTTCTCATGAAAAAATTGTATTGATCCATACATTTTTTAAAAAGTTATAGCACTTTAAAGTAAAAAATGTAAATTATAAAATCGAAAATTTTCACACAAAAATAGCATTCGGTAGCCGTTTTCACCATGAAGACAAGTCCAGAGGTCAAATTTTTTTTTTTCAAATTAAAGTACATTACATTAGCTTTAATTTAAGATATATATAAAAGTGTCAGACCTTCCGGAACATTTTCAAAAGTTAAGTTGAAAAAGTTAATTTTTTGTGAAAAAGTTGTCATTTTAAATCCCCCCCTGTGGGCAGGTTAAGTGTCAGATTTACAAAAAAAATATACCAAATGATAGGTAAAGACATCAAGCATCTATATAAAAAAAAATTATATTCATATGTTCATTTTTGAAAAAGTTACGGCAGTTTTTAGTAAAAAAAATTGAAAAAATTTCGAAAATTAGCGATTTTTAAATTTGTAATTTTTTTGGAGGTTTCCCCCATTTACGGGGAACGAGGGAAATTTTTTCAATTTTGAAGGGTAATGACTTCGACTAGATACGATTTGTGATCTTTTGACGTAACGTTGAAAGAAATCCGTTCGGTGAGAGCTGAGAAAAAGTGGTAACAGACACAAAAAAAAAACACATCATAGTAAACCAATAACCAATACCTTCTCAGCTTCGCATCGAAGCTAAAAAATTATTTATCCCGACGACTTTTTTTCTATGTATAAACGGCACCATAAGTTGAACAAATAATATTATATTGATGTAAAAAACCATCGTTTTTCGTTTTTAATTTCATGAAAAATAATTTTTTTATATTATCTTATCCATATTTTAGACAGTATAGTACTATAGAAGGGTGGGAGTATGGACCCCATATAACCCCCTTTTACAAAAAAATATAAAAATGTTTTATTTGTGAGTGTTAAATATTTTGTAGCTTTTAAAATCAATCCAATAAATATATTAAAAGGAAGGGGGCTGTCTTTCCAAAAAAAATGTTCTAGCTATCAATGGCTTATAATAAATTGAAGTAACGAAAGATTCTTTTAATAGCCACTCTAATCTACATGACTTCTCTTAAAATAATAATTATATTAAGTAAATCCTTTATGGAATTTTTTAGTTTTATAAATTTCTCGATTAATTAATTATAATATTTTTTTAATTCATCATTTATAACTTTTATTATAACTTTAATTTTTATTTTAATGGCATCAGACATATTTAACTAGCTTATAAAAAAAAAATATTGGTTGATAACAATATTAATATATAGAAGGAAGTGAAGTGCGGGTTATATTATGTTTATCATTACTCTATCGCGGCTTTTTTCCAATATTTATTTAAACATTTTATTAACTTCTCAAATATTGAACAAAATTTTTTATTTCAAAAATTATTATTATGAACCAGTCATTTTCTTAATTAGATTGCGATGTTCACCAGCTTTTGGCCGTAATCTTTTCACCAATAAAGACACAACAATCCAACTAAGTTGAATTCACCACTAGCCGAGGTTTTACCAGACCGAAGCATAATAGAAATTAAATGTAAATAACATAACTGATGTTTTTAAATTGTTCTAATGGTCTATTTACGAAGTACTGCAGAGAAAAAATAATAAAAATCTAGTTGACTAGTAAAATGAACGATATTTATTTTATGTAATAATTAAACTTTGCAAATAATAACAAATTTAAATTAAAATAAAATGATTATGCCTTAAGTACAATGAGATAATATCTAATACATTTGTTATAAATGTTCAAAATAATAAAAAACAAGATAACAAATTATTTTATTAAAATGTTTCAAATCAAGTTTAAAAATATCACAAATTAATAAATAATATAAAGGATAAATGAAATAGAATTAACATGAGGAAGAAGAATAAACTATGATACTGCTTGATTGACTATGTCTATTGGGCCAAGGAGACTGCAACTGTATTTTATTCTATTGAATATAATAAAATTGTTATCATTGCAATAATGATCAAACATCGGTTAATAGGAATGTTGGTTTTTATTCCGATCCTTAAGACTACAAAGTACGTCTCAATTAATCAAATACATGTGAGATCTTATTACACTTTAAATTACAAAATAGTTAACGCACTCATATGGAAAAGAAAATGATATTTTAAAATAAATAATATATGAGTGTTAAATGAGTAAAATGTGCCAATAAGTGTAAGTAGAATAGAGTAATCATATTAAAATAATTTAAGTGTACTAAATTAATTAAAGTTCAAGTTTCAAAGAAAACTTTTTGACAATACACGGGCATAGAAAAAATGAATACACAAAATAAAAAAAAGGGCAGGTAAATGTTGTACAAGTTATCCAATGATCAGAATCAAAATGATACGTAGTCAACAAATGATTTTATAAGCAGCCATTACAATTTTAATTGTATAAACAAAAAATGACATGCAGGTGGCCTGAGAGAGAGATAGATTGTTTGACGAAAACCATTTTAGCAAAATGGTCAGGCCATTCGACGGCGACGAACACATATTGAACCGGTTGGGGAACAACGCTGACGATAGAGCACATATATTCAACAGACACCTGGGATCGGTTGAATTGTTAACAAGTATTGTAGTGGTCAGCTGGATGATTACTTATCTCGATGACAATATATAATGAAATATATATTATAGTAATATAATATAATTGAAATTATAAACGGAAAATGTACTATTAAATTACTAAGGACCATTTAATTAAGTTATTACTGAATTGTAATATTCAAAAAGTGGTTTTGATTTACAACGAAATATCTCACCTCTCAGACAATAACATTTTATTACCAATTTTTTAGCAGTTACTCTTAATTATGAATTGTTAACCAATAAATTACATAATTTATATAACAACTGTTAGATTTTCATAATTGTAATTCTTTTACGTCACAAGATGGCAAAATATACATTTATCCAACTTATCAAATAAAAATTATCTAATTAAAAATAATATTGGTTGATGACAAATTTTCACACAAAATTTCGTAAGTTAGAACCATTTTAAAATAGAATGGAGTTGGTTAATGTTATTCTTATCATTACGCAATACTCTGCTACGTTTTTTCTCCATTCTATATTTTCCATTCTATTTTCGATCAGTCATTTTTTTTATTAAATCATTTTTTATTTTGTTAGCTAGTTAAATATGTATGTGGTCTTTTAAAAATAATAGAGTTGACACCCTTATAAAGTATAAGGGATAAATAAAAAAAAATTAATAATTTAAAAACAAGAAATAAATAAAATTAAAAAATATTAAAAAGAATTTCCTTAATATAATCAATATCTTAAAAGAAATCTAGCTAATATTAAAAGAATCACTCTGTATACAACCATATATAATTTTTTATAAACTCTTCATAAAAAACATAATGCTAGATAATTAAATATAAATTTCATACTAAATTTAAATACTGTAATGTACTATATTTATAATTATAAGTGTATATTTTATATTAAAAAATATATGTTTTAAATCATAAAATTTAATGGTCAGGAAATAGAGTTCATGTTGCTTATGGAATAATTCATTAATTTATTCTAAAAATGTAAACATTATCTACAGATTTACAAAGAAATGTTTTTTGTGTTAGTGTTTTTAATTATTATTGGATATCATCTATACTTGCTTCCACTGTGCCGCAATCCCACTATGCTACAATTTTTTATTTTCCATTAAAAAAACCAGCAGAGTGGGGTTATGGAATTAAAAAAAAAGTGTAGTTTATAAATAGTCTGGTTTTATTAACATTATTTTTTTTACATTTAGTCAAACAAAATGAATCGGAACTCAAAAACATATCAGAATTTTTGGAGAAAGGTAATTGTCATATAATTAAGAATTTTTAGCATACAACAAGTATTTAAAAACGTTTTAAACTTTTATATAGTTTTGTATTTTCATTTTCCATTTATAAAATACTACAGAGCAATAGGGTCACTGAATGTCGAGGACACGGCATATTTGTGACAAATTGAGATCAGTTCCGTCGCTAGTTTTTGCGAGATTTTTGCATACCTACAAGGTGTGTTCAATAAATACCCAGACAAAATTTATTAAAAATTATATTTTAATCATACAATTTATTTAAATGGATCACTTTCAAAATAGTGTCCTTTAGCTTCGATACATTGTTTCCAACGTCTTGCCACTTTTTGAAACACCTTTGAATGTCTTCCATAGTTATAACTTTTAGCTCTTGTGTCGCGTTCTAGATAGTTTCGTTGACGTCCTCGAATCTTTGACCTTTGAGGGTACGTTTTAGTCTTGGAAACAAAAAAAAAATCACAGGGAGATAAGTAAAGTAAATATGGTGGGTGAGGTACCACTGGTATATTTTTGAATGCCAAAAATTCACGAATGGAAAGTGCTGAATGCGCTGGTGCATTGTCATGGTGCAAAAACTACTACTTTGATTTCCACGCTTCTGGCCTTTTACTTTTTCTCTTAATCTTTCTAGTACTTGTGATAAAACACTTGATTTACTGTCTGACCTGTATGTACAAACTCATAATTGACTAAACCAGAAAAATAAAAAAAAACAATGAGCCATTGTTTTAATGTTTGACCGGACTTGAGGACATATTTTTGGACGAGGTGACTTTGCAGTCTTCCATTACAACGACTGAACTTTGGTTTCGGGATCATATCCATATACACATGTTTCATCACCCGTAATAATTGATTTTATAAAATTTGGGTCATTAGAAATCCGATTTTTTAGTTCCAAACAAACTTCAATGCGATGTTTCATTTACTCCTCGGTTAACAATTTTGGCACTAATTTTGCGGATATCCAATCATCTGATAAAATCAAATGACAAGTACCAATTGATATACCAACTTCATTGGCTACTTCTCTGACAGTTAATCGTCGGTCATATCTAATTTTGTTTCAAACAAGAGTGGACGCCCAGGACAATGGTCATCTTCAATGGATATCCGACCTTCTTTAAAACTTTTGAACCATTTAAAAATTACACAACGGCTTAGAGAAATATCTCCAAAAGCCAATTTAATCAATTCAAAAGTTTCCGTAGCATTTTTACTAATTTTGATACAAAATTTGATACACACGAGTTGCTCCGTAATATTATCCATTGTGTAATCGTGATTTCATACAAAACGGTCATCTTTGAACGCGTATTGTCAATGACTGATTTGAGATAATAATTATTATTATATACTAAAATAATGATCATAATCGCTAGTTTATTTTGGTATAATAACATTACCGATAAAATCAAACGTTTTTCTGTAATAATTTTAGTCTGGGTATTTATTGTACACACATCGTATAACTACAAAATGGAATAGAACCTCTTTTTTTCCATAATTTACAGATTTTAAAAGAAGGATAGACTTATTTCTGTATCTATTAAGAACTCTACATTAAAATAAGAGAGGTTAATGGTTTAACTCAAAAAGTTTTAATTGTTGATTTTAAATATTAAATTAGGTTTATAGTAATAGAGTATAAATCTATAGTATAAAGTAACATTAAAAAATAATTTTTTTATCCCCCCTTCCCTTAGAAGGCATTTTTGTATTGTGTCCAGTGTTTGTAATAAACAAAAAGAAATAAAAATAGAAGTGTTAGGAAGGAAAATAAATGTAGCGCAGGTGGCCATTGAGGAAATAAGAGTCGTAGCGGGCGTAGTATAAAGAAGGATGGGCAGCAATGGAAAGTAAAAGTGGCTATAGGTACCGAGCAGTGACTATAATAAGATGAAATAGACAGGGATCTCGGGGTATGTATGCTTGCGTGAAGACGTCTAATATATGAATAAAATGGAATTACAAAGAAGGGTCACTACCTAGCTCCTGCACAGAAACGTATGCACGAATTTCTGGCGAGTCACAAGTATCGTATTTCTTTATAAAAGTATTTTAGTTTATTCTCAATGACCTATCTTGTTTTAATTGTTTATTACTAAAAGTTCTTCAGTAAAGGATTTATTATAGACTTATTATATAAATAAATGTTTTCACTTACCTCTAACCTCTGACCGTCTTTTCAGTCGTCCAAAGGGTGATCTAGGGTAGATGCGAACTCAATTTCGGTTCTTTGCACAATAGATTATACTAGTGTTTGAACGAAACGCCCGGTAATGATGTGCGGTTTAGTTACTGTTCGTTTCTGGAGTATTTATATCATGCAGGAAAAAGAAGTAGGGAGTGGACTGTATAAATGAGTAAATGTATTGAAAGAATATAAAACAATAAACTGTATTTTTACAATATAAACTAAAATATTATATATATATCAATGTAGGTGCCCCCCCTACCTATTAATGCTAATGCAAAAATGCGTCAAATAGAACAAATAGTAAGATAAAAATTAGACAAAACAATATAATTAATAACTACTTATGTATACTGAAGATGACTGGTTGATGCGAATGAAATCGTTGTCATGACCATTGAACCAGACAAAATGTAATGTCGCCAACAGTATGAGCGTACCGCTATATTATGAGTATAAGTGTATGAGCGTATCGCAAGGGCGATATATAAGCGTTTTTAACAACTACGTGCTCGCAAGCACCATAGAGCCATACAATAAAACGACTTAGGATGGCAGCGAAAAACGCAAAAAATGTCACACAAGGACCGATAATAACTAGACGAGTCACAAGAATCACGCACTTAAGCATTCAACGTAATGAATCGCTCACACAACCGGTGGTGGTAGTGCGAAAGACGTTATCAGTCATAAGATGTAGCAAAACGCCCTCTCGTAATGCGTATCCAACAACTAGTGTCCCACACTCCGATTGCCCGTACTGTGGCAGAGATCAGACTGGCTAGTCGATAAGTGGAGAGACACTTTTTAGTTGTTTAGGTGATTAGTATAATATTTCGACTCTGATTTATTTGTATTTCGTAGCTGGTTGTACCAACGTAAGATCTCAAATAATATCTTTATCTTTATGCAAAGACCCTTATGATATGTGGCCTACTTCTTTTCAATCACCTGTAGGACGACCTAGGTTAGATGCGACTGTACTATAGATTTATGCACAATAAGTTATGTTAGTGTTCTACACTCCGATGACCCGCACTGTGGCAGAGATCAGACTGGCTAGTCGATAAATGGGGAGACACTTTAGAGAACGCTTATAATTAGTTGGAATATTAACTATGATGTTATTGTGCTAGTACTCTGTTCAGCCAGGTTGTGGCGCTTCAATAAGTAATAGAACACAATGCAATTTAGTCATGTATTTTTAGCTTCGATGCGAAGCTGAGAAGGTATTGGTTTTACTAAGATGTATTTTTATTTGTGTCTGTTCTCAGCTCTCACCGAACCGATTTCTTTCAATGATACGTCAAAAGATCACAAATCGTATCTAGTCGAAGACATTACCCTCAAAAATTGAAAAAAATGCCTCGTTCCCCGTAAAGGGGGTAAACCTCCAAAAAAATTACCAATTTAAAAATCGCTACTTTTCGAAATTTTTAAAATTTTTTTTACTTAAAATTGCCATAACTCTTTTAAAATAGAACAAATCAATATAATTTTTTTTTTAATAGATGCATAATGTCTTTAATTATCATTTGTTATTTTTTTTATAAATTTGACCTTTTATTTGCCCACAGGGCAAGTAAAGGGTCACATGACAACTTTTTTTTTTTAAAATGACAACTTTTTCACAAAAAATTAATTTTTTCAACTTGATTTTTGAAAATGTTCCGGAAGGTCTGACACTTTTATATATATCTTAAATTAAAGCTAATGTAATATACTTT